GACTTGAACCAAGGTCGCCATATTCTCGAGAGGATAGATGATGGGATATCGACTATTGCACACCGGTTGGTGAAGGCTTCACAATAATTGGTGCCATGGGCTCGGAGCATGGGCTCTCTACTGTCAATTTTGGTGGTTTTGATCGTTTTTGGTGACCTTTGACCTGATCAGAGGTCACTATGTTCTGTAAAGAACAATATATCAACTATGGCGCATCAATTGGTGAAGGTTTCATGGTGATCGGTGCCATAGGCTCGGACCATGGAGTTGTCTGCAGACATTTTAGGTATTTTTTCGTATTGTTGGTGACATTTGACCTGCTTCAAGGCCACCATGTTCTGGAAAGGGTAGATTTTCATCCAAGCGGCATCGAATGGCAAAGGCGTCATGTCAATCGGTGCAATAGGTTCGGAGCATGGGGCTGTTAGCAGGTTTGGTCGGCCGTTTAGTCCCTCCCTCTGCATTCAGATTCAGAAGAAATCGATAATCCCTTCCATTTAACAAAACTTATGCCGAGGAAAGCTCAAAGTCTGATGATAACTCCAGTTAAGGCTTGTTGTGGGGCATCGAGGGCTTTCATACTGGATGTAAAAAAGTTCAACAGTTTAAGTTTGATGGCCCTATTCTAAATGTTCGTATAGTCGGTGATTTGTTTAACGATTTACCTGGCGGCAAGTTCCGATTTCGCTAAAAACGCGGCAGATGGTCAATCATGGCACAGGAACGCGTCTACTTTTCCATAACATGAGCTACAAGGTCAAATTCAAGGTCACACAGTAACTCCGTATCAACAAAAACTTACAGTCCGATTTGAGATTTGTGAGTATCAGAACAACCACTAACGCATGAGCTAGGGGCCGTCGAAAAGTCCTGACCTCGCAAGGTCCCTATTCAAGGTTAAATTCAAGCTCAAAGGACGGGTAACTCCATATCACCCAAAAGTTAGCAGCCGATTTCAACTGTTAAGCGTCTGCACATTCACAGAGCAAAAAAGTCTGTCAGAAGGTCCCGATCTCTCAAAGTCACCTTTCAAAACGAACTTTATGCTTGCAATGGCCGGGAACTGGACTTCACAAAAAATGACGGCCGATTTTGGATTTATAAATTTCAGAACAATTCCTAGCGCTAAAACTAGCACGCTTTAAAAATCCCGCTAAAATTATGGGAATTCCATATTACCCAAAAGTTACCGGCTCATTGCAAAATTTCAACCATCAGAATATCTAACAGCAAAGAAATTGGCGTCCGTAAGAACCTGCCCGTTCAAGGTCACCACTCATGGTCAAATTTAGGCTCAAAGGACCGGGGGCTCCATATCACCGATTTCGGATAGCCATGCCGGCCAATGGCTATGCTGATTTGTGGAAGTGGTCGATTTACAAAGCACATTTTTTTCTTACACTTCCACTTGCGATATAATTTTGAATCGTCTCACTTTGGATTTTTTTTGTTGAAACATCCCACCTTTTGTAACGTTTCCACGCCTTTCCAACAGCGTATCTAGGAAGCTTTCCGCTGCGGTGTTGTAGACGGTAGCCTGATTTGCTCTTTGTGAAGTAGTGGCGTTACCACCGTGAAAAGGTGGCGCCACAGGCGTATTCTCTGGGCCAGCTTGCAGCCGGCGAACCATAGCTGGTGTTTGGTTCCCATTGTTCCGGTGCGTCTGTTCCATAACAATTCACAGCGTGGATCATCCAGCTTCGAGACCATCTCATCGCTCCGCTGGAAATGCTTTTGTGTGGTTCTAAAGCTCGTAGCCAACGTCGCTGCAGGGTAAATCCTGGTGTTCCCTTGCGTCACCACGAAACCTTGCATGCAAAAGGAAGGCTCTTTGTCATAACGCGCGCAACAGCGGACTTAAAGCAGTAATATCGGCTATCAACCAGTTCTGTCAAACGTAGATTCTGTGCAAAATTTGGGAGCATGGTGAAAATCGTCGCTGGTTGCATGAACACAGCGCACGTTCCATAACAACGACCAAAATGATTGGCACGTTTGGTAAATATCGCACACCGCGGGGCCGTAGAAGTCCAAAATGCCTTATTGGCCGGGGCGCTCAGTGTCCCTGTAGGGTCAAGAGACTCTTGCGGAACCTTATCCTACAAGCGGCACCGATTCATATCGGGCGTGTCTGACGCAGCTTTCTGGCAGCGGCTGCATTTGAACCTCTCGAGCGGCTCTCCGGAATAATTATAAATTATGCGGTGTAGCCGCACCAAACTTCACATAGATGTGGGCAAATGCATAAAAATAGTTTGGTGTCCACAATTCAAATATGCCATGCAAGATTACTCGCCCATGACAGGTCAAAGCCAAGTTATGGCTGTCAGCAAAGGCAATCCTGGGGCATCGTGAAATTTGATGTGACAAACGAATCTTAGACAAAGCCATGCATCTGCGAGATAGGTTAATGCCCAATAATACAGTTATGTTTAAGATAACAGCTTATTCCATCTACCTCGATCAGGTATGAAGTCAAAACCAAACAGTTCTCACTTGAATAACTTCACTTATGAGGATAGTTTTTTGTGTTGCTTTCGAATTTATTGATCACAGGTGCGTTAACTGTGGTCTCATTGGGATTGAATGAAGACCAGTGATGGTCACTGGCCTAAAATGACCTGGATTAAGATTTTGATTTAAGCAACATACGGCCAAGCATAACACTTGTTGCTGATTAAAAATAATAGTGTCGCGGGTCTTGGTCATCGTAACCTTCTAAATATCAAATAAGGTCGCTGACCTTAAATGGACATCATTTACCTTTTGCTCAGAATAAGTTCCTAGGTTAAGTATGTTACGTAAGTAATTTGAGGGCACTTCGGACACCGACGTGTAATTTAAATATATCTGAACCTATCTAACCTGGAGGTCATGACCTAGAGCCCTAAAGATCTGACACTAGGGGGTTTACATACCGACCAATCTGGCCTCTGACTTTGGTGTCTCTGGCTTTCTTAGTTGTTTTTTAAATCTCAGAGGAGGGTTAAATAGCTCCCCCCAGCGCGTAGCGTAAGTGTGCACAAAGACGCGTGTTAACCACAAATTAGTGAGGCCTAAGCAGGTCCAAACTCATCGTTTTCATCAAATTAAGTGATATCATAGGGACATCGTAGGAATGTTTGCAAGGGTAAAACGTCGTTCGAGGTCATTGGCCTCGTTTGAAATCGAGAAGGGCAATGCCATGTAATAGTAGAGGTCAGTTTAGCCGTACATCCTCCACATGATAGCATTACAAAAGGGTGTCCAGGAATGGAATCGGCACAATTTGCCGTCTGATGTGTTACAGGGTGAAATACATGCTGGCGAGGGGTTCGTGTTTTTTTTTTGCAAAAAATCTGGTGATCGACACAGCTTCAAAACGTCAAATATCTCAATATGGAAATTACTTGCACGCTAACTCCTCGCAAACTGAAGGTTGATTATTTTCAGCGAACTCCGAACTCATCATGCCAAAATATCAAGAGTGCAACGTCATTCTTACTCATATGATCTTCAAACTTATGCCAAATTCCGGTCGCTTTTTTAAACCACGATGCCCGCTCGGTTGCCCCGCCCTGTCACCAACCTTTACCTGTTATGTATTTTCAGTCAACATGTCTGTTGAGGGTCATGTCCAGTTTAACGTTTAGGAACAGGTGCCTCCCGACACTGCATTTGATACATTTTGTTGTGACCTCTCAACGGAAAATGTGTTTTGCACACACTTTTCTGCAAGCTGCGTGGACACAAGGTCACGCTTTCCAGCGCAAAGTCGTATTTTTCAGCCGCAGACCGTCTTCTACCACCGCTTAAGAGATGTGTCTCCGTTAATCATATCGGACCATCTTGCTTACGCAATTTAACAGGAGTTACGCCCAGCTCTCAGCTCCTCACTGAGATGCAGTTTCACATTTTCATTGTCATTTTTCACATGTCATTTCAATTTTCATTCCACTTCATTTTTCACTGACATGCCATTTTCCGTACAGATGTCTCTTATCGGCCGATTTTTAAAAATAATACTTTTAATTTTGACAGCAGGAACGAGAATCTAAGTGACCAAAATGCGGGAGGAAATACGTTTTATTCGGGACGGTTAGGTCAACGTTATCGGCTGAGCCCCATTACCAGTTCTAAAAAGTGACATCCTTGCGCATTCCCGCACCCTTACCCATAATGCTCGCAAAATCTGTACCCAGCCCAGCCCGTTACCTAGTCCCATTCCTTATGGATGCTCGCTCACAGGTTTCCCCACTCCATGAAATCTACTACATGTAGTATACCGTACCAACCACGCGGGATAGCCGAGTAAGTGCATGCACTATCAACGCCGGGCCGGAAAGGTTAAACGAAGGCACAGCTTTGATGTTATGATGTCATATTTTTGTTATATTTGGCGCCAACGTTGACCACACTGCTCAAAATCAGACCTGTGGGTTCAGAATAAGCCAAGGAGTCCTCGCACACCTTTTGCTGGGACACTCCTTTGGGGGAAGGCAGCCAGGAAACATTGCCTGCTGCTGCCGGAGAATTAAGACAAATCCATGCACTTTGACAGCACATTTTTATTGCATCATAAAGCATGGAAGTTGATTACAAGACGCAGTGGAGATTTCAAAAAGATACGGATTATCGATAAACAGCTGACACGACGAAAATGTGACGGCGTCTGTAGCCCAAGCCAGGTCCTTGCTGCCCTTACCAGCGCTTTACGACATGCTCGGTATATGGCGTCGCCTGCCTCTCACCTCGGCAGAAAGGGCGGGAACCGCGGAAATCGAGCCCCGCACCGCTGGTTTTCCACCCACGCAGCTTCGCCACCGCACTATCGGTTCCCTGTGGGTCGTTACGCAGAAGAATCTTATACCGCATAGCGACTGCGACCAACACTGGTCATTGTTCCGATGCGGTGCCAGCCCAGCCCTGGTGACGGCGGCGTCTTCGACCCGGGCCAGGTCCTCGCTGTGATGCGTTCTGACTCGGCTGCGTCTGACGAGGTGGCCGTGGTCCCAAGGCTCCTAGCAGTATTGCGGGCGCAAGATGAGCTCCATGTCCAGCATGGCAAACTCCCGCGGACAGCAGGCGTACGTCACCTCTCTTCGCACCACAGACGACCTGGCCACCCTCCAGGCGCCGCTGGCCACTATGTGGGAGACGTCGACGGTGTCTGACGCCGGCTGCACGTCCACCTCATCGACGCTGTGCACCCAAGGCCCGATCGTGATGGGGCACCTGAACTGGTCCGAGTCGTCGGTGACGGTGTTTTTGCAGCGGAAGCTGATGGTCACCGGCAAGCCCAAGTGGGCGCGTCCATCGCGCCAAACAAGCGCTACCGTCTTTCCAAACCAGCTTTTGGCTATGTCCAGCATGTTGATCGGCCTCATGTCGGGAATCCACATCTGATCCATGTGCAGGTACGTGCGCTCGATGTTCTTCAAGACTGAGTTATCGCTGGTCCAGCTGAGAGCAGGGTTCTTCCAGCCGATGTTCAGCCAGCCGCTGACGGTGACTGCGCTGCGACTCACGTCGACCTCGACGTTGGTCAAGCTGAGGCCGAGCAGGACGGTGACGCTGCCGTTAGTGAGCGCCGGTCATAACATACGCCCTGGCCGCGCGAGCAGGTACGATTTGACATCGAAGGGCTCGTCAATCGCGTGGATGACCGCCACCACAGCCGCCAGCAGTGTCCAGGAGAGCAGAGCGCCCATGGCGGCAGGGGAGCGAGTGCTGACGGCGCGTCGCCACCTCGCCGTGCTCACGATGGCACGGAGTTCTCGGGCTTGACGGCAGGCGTCTTGACGGTACGCGTGTTGGAGCGCGGAGCCCGCTAGCTGACGACTGGTCCAGCAGTGGCCGTCGACACGGACGACGCTGAATATATAGTGCTTGTTGTTGTGGGCTGGTCCGCGATTTTCACATAAGTGACAAAACACAGCCTACCGAAATTAAACCAGAAAGCGCCCCAGCGATGATAAAAGGGCCTAAATATTTGTAAACCTCAGATTCGGCTTGTTAAGGTGTGGTGTCGTGAAGTGCCGGGGCGCTGGCTTCCAGTCTGGTTTATACAATGCCTGGCATGGTAAAGGTCAGTAGTGCACATGTTGACCAGCGGCACAAAAGCTGCTTAGCAACGACCACGGTTCAGCAGGCTTCTGCCATCTGTAATGTCTGAGTGCTGCATTCCGCCGCTTGTGAGCTTGTTCAGGTTGCACTCGAACCTAACCCAGAGGTGACGGCCTAGCCGTTGTGTCAACAATAAGGATGGGGATGCCTGCATGTGCTGGGATCATCGCGTGAACGCAGGCAGCCGGTGACGTTAACAAAAGACTGCAGCATCGACCACTCCTGTCGCTGTTGGCGATCACAGAGTGGACCAGGAAGCAATCGCCCCCTAAGGCTACAGATATGAACGCTTCGGATTCCAGTCCTTTTCTAACGTCAAGCACCGCAAGTAAACTGCATTACCATGCCGTACTTAGTCCCTCGCAGCCCTGCCTACAGTCGTGCACGGCTCTCGTGGCCTCAAAGTGTGAGTGGTCGCATTTGAATACTCATATTCGTACATGTATTTGGTGACTGGGGATACATATAGCACGCATCACCCGACGCAAACATTTTCCTACGTGACAGGCGTGCAGGCCTTTGTTGTGCACTTCCGGTGTCGTAACCTAGGACGGTTGACATTCAACCTACTAAACAGCCAGAAGACAAATACTCCAACATTTTAGATGCAGGCGCGACTGCCGGCAATCTACGACCAAATGGTTCTTTAAACATTGCGTAATACGTAATACAATTCGTAATACGAAGCAGAACTTCTTATGCAACCCATGCTGCAAGTGAGCTATGGTAGATTACATGTGTCCTATAGCAGTGTCAGTCCCACTTCTCCACGGCATTCCACGTCACGGTCATCGTTGCCTTCCACTACTGATAGTTCACAAACGTGCCATGCCCACTGTGACCATGCGTAAGCTGGGGAGGACGGGGAAGTACCACACACACACACTTCATCCATAGATGTGCGTCATAGACACGTGGGTACGCACTCCATGGTGCACTGACCGCGCAGGGCCATGCAGCTATCAACTGTCGCTGGGGCGCCTTCCATCTTCCCCATCTGCACAGGATTCATTTCCACGATGTTCCCTACGCCAAGGTTCTATCATAAAGCACGCAGGTTCATCATTGGTGCAGGGTTAGCTTACACAACAAATGATACTACATTTTTCGTCTGGGAATAGCTTGGTGTCGGTTCATGCGTATAGCGCTGTTTGACACACAAGCGCAGCACGGTCTGGGTCCGCGTCTGTACAGGTCGCAGGAATCCCTGCGACATCCCCTCCCCACATAGGAGCCGCGCTACACCATCCACCAAATGCGTGTGGCCGATCTACCTCTCCCGCCTGTGTCCCGTCCATGGTGCGCGCTAGCTGTTATCGTTTCTTGAACACAACGCCGACACGAACTGACCACATCGCGCTGCTGTGCAGGCGTCAGGGCCCAAGGAACACCGCGATAATCGAGATTGTGGTCAGCGAAGAAAAACTATTGGTCGCCCGAGGAAATGTCTCACAGGACAAGGCTACAAGGAAGAGGGATCTTTGTTAGAGAAAGTTTGCCACCAGTGTGCTCCAAACGTGGGGTTGGTCAAAACATGACGTGACTAAGAAGAGCCAACGGTCTTCCGGCATACTGTTCTCGGGCCCATCAGACCACCGGAAGGAGAGAACACACGACACGGTGCCAGCACCGGTGCAGAGTGGACACTTGCGAATAACAAAGAAATGCACAAGTCAAATACACCCGTGAAACTTTTGCAAAATACCGCGGGAAGCTTTTAAATACATTGATAAATAAGCCCTTACACCGCACACAGACACACAGACACACACGCACACACACACACACACACACAAGCGCGGTTAAACATAAATATTCCGGTGTAAATGTACCGCACATCAGGCCCTGTGTCTTAGTGTCACCGTCTTCACAACCACACGCCGAAAATAACAAAGCAGCAGTAAGAGGATAATTCCGGGTGGTGTTCGTTTCATGACCGTAAGATCAAGATGCAGCAGGTCCGAAAACAATGACAAGGCTCCCAGGCAATCTAACGGAGCTAGATTGCAGTCGTTTTCTCTGGGTCCGCAGACTGCGAGGTGTTCAGACAGTTGTCCACATCATCCAGAAGCGTCATAGCCTCATGCGACGATTCGTCGATGGTTTGCACTATCTCGGTCGTGGCAGGGCCCTCCGATGTCTGCGATCGCACGCGGCTGTAGTCGGCTGGAGACAGCCTGGCAGCCATGAAGTTGTCCTTGTAGATCTTGGCAGCCAGGCACCCACCCATCAGCGGGCCGAGCCAGTAAACCTTGAACGACATTTAGAGCTTGTTGGCACACATGCATGCTGCTTGTGCACTCGGCTCAGTAAATCGGTAAATGCACTTATATGCACGTGTGAAGTTCCTCTCCATAACATATAACCATAGTGCGTGGGCTTTGATCATGCGCTAGATGCGAAGATGGTCGCAGTCCATGAGCGCATCTGTCAATTAAAAAGCACAACATTTTGCTTATGAGGGGTAAGACTAGACTCAGCACGTAGTAAGGAGCCGCATCCACGTGCGTAAGCCAATAGCAGCATGTAAAAGGGACGCGCGCAGTATGTACACGCCTTGCTTTAAATTCTCAAAACAGCACCGCAAACCAGGCGAAACCCTCACATGTATCATGCTTCACTTGCGCACCGCAGAATGTCCGCATCTATCTGTCCGGGAGAGGGGAGCCGCCGACCAGCGGGCTTATTCTATGCCACGCTTATAGCGATCGGTGAGCACGGTCGAGGGAGCGCGCAGCGGCGGAGCGCCAACTCACGAGCGTGCCCAGTGACGTGACGAATGACGTCACTGCCTCGTCATCGGGACGTGACATGACACGACCACGGAAAGCGCAACGGAAGCAGCCGACAGTGAAAGCAGAAGGTGACAGCACGGACGGAGAGAACGAGACGAGCAAGACAGGAAAGCGGTCTCAAGAAGAGAGAATCGTGCGTTTGTGACGCAGGTTTATGCAGCAAGTTTGTGTATAGGTGGCTCCTCAATGATCTTTTATCTTTTAACGCTTCGGAGCGGCTAAGCTTGCGGAAGAGATGCTCGTGAAGGATGTTTTTGTGTGTGCATCTAGAAATTAAGCAATCTCATCTCGCAATCGGCCATCCAACATACAAAGCATGTTCACAAAAATACCATTACAAAAGAAATCTCTGGAGATATCTATAGAACTGCATGCTTTTAAAGTGGCCCAACGTTTCCACGTTGATCTAGCAGACCCCGTTTCTACGTGCGGCGACACGGCGCTTTTCCAGCCAACTGCCTTGACACTACTGCATCATGGTGCGCGGAAGTCTTAAACTGACACTCCTCGTGCGGTGGAATTTGACTATCGTTCGATCACCTCTCGTGCGCTGCAGGGGGGCATACCTTGGTTTACTTATTGCTCGACATCTGGGGTTTCACTTCGGTCAGCTCGACCGACTCGACGCTCATGTGGCGTGCCCTGAAGGCATGCGTATAGACGAGCCCGGCCAGGATTCCACCAACAATCGGTCCCACCCAGTAGACCTGGAGCAACAGAGAGCGGTGATGCCGGAGCCCGCCCGTTCTGGAACACACACAGCGGTGACGAGACGCCAGGGGCTCAGCTCATGGACGACCGCCGTCACCTGCAGCCAGGCGCGCAAGACATCTGGAAAAGGCGCGGTAGCTGGAGAAGCGGCTTCAACCAGCGCATCTGCAATACAGATGACGTTGACAGGCTGGGATAGGTGCCTCACTCATCTCATGCCTGTTAATTTGGAAAACGTCAGGTAAACCATGCAGCACACCAGCCAAGTATGATCACTTCAGTGATGTCAACGAAGCCGGGAGCCTCAGCAAGTAAAGCTGAGAGACCGACACTTGTTAGGAGAGTCATGATAGATCACCTGTGAAAAGGATTCAATGACACAATGTCGCTCGACGAATCTTTTGCACCTATGCACGCACCATACAGACCAGCTTGATTTATGAAATGAACGACAGGTTCGATAATAAAAATCTTGTCCCGACTGCCGGTAAATAAAACCGGCCTTAATAATTACCGAAACCTATAACAAGGAAAACTGAAGCAAGCTGGAACCGATTGTAAGGCCTCAAAATATTACAAACGTAATTGTGGCTCAACGAGGCTGATACCATTTATGCTCAATGGAAGGGCAGCATGCTTAAGATACCAGACAACGGTCAAGAAAGCCCCACATTTTTCGATGTGCGTTTGCACCATCAACTCCCTGGCCGCCCAAGTAACACATGCTACGAAAGTGACATCTTAACGCATTATCGCAAGTCATGTTTCATGACCGGTATCAGGTCCTTGCACAGTGTCTAACACACCACTGTGATCGCACGCCGAAGATCAGCTCTACGCTAGCGGTATCGTACCACCGCTACAATAGAGTTTTAGGACGCGCTGACCGCCATTTGATGAATTCTCCGTAATTTCATAATCATAATGACCACGTTTGTACCGCCATCATAAGGTATCTATGCCCGTTATCGGGGTTTGAATGCGCTGGGCTTGAACAGTGCATTCACCACTTGAACGAACATCTCGCATTGAATTGGTGAGTTATTGGACAGATCGACATGGACAAGCGATAAAACAATCAGTTCAGAAAGGTCTGTTGACAAATTAACACGAAATCAGCATAATTCCGTCCTTGTTTCTTTCCATAACAACAAACCCAACCAACTGCACACTCCTTCCAACGTGTCATTTCTGATATTATTACACCTCACTGTAAACAATTTATAGACAGGTCGTCACATCGAAGACCATAGAGAATGATGGCTTGTTGTCCAGTGTATCCATACGGCATGACGGTTAGATCGAACCTGCTAACATGGACGAGCCAGTTGACACCCACAGTCATCAAACCAGCGGCAAGAGCCTTTATCGAGCAGCGACAGGCGCCTGTGGGTAAGCTAGTTATACATGTGTCGACGCTGTACAGGACCTCAAATTCTCTGGTCCACCCGGATTCTGCTGCCTGGTCTGGGGGAGGGGTCTTGTCGGCTGGTTCCTGATTCGGACAAAATCAGGAGGATCGTTGTCAGACCATGGGTAATGCAGGCTCAACCTCGCTTAAAATCAGCTCTCAACTCGTCTATGCCCGCCAATATGTTATATTTTGAAATTGTTTCGCTTACATTGCATGAATGGATAATGCAATTATGACGGACATGGAAGAAAAACACCTACCATGAATTCGGGCAATGTATTACAACAACATTGGTAAAAATGGGAAGGCTCAGGAAGTGAGAAGCTCAAAAGAAACATGATACAAAAATCCCAATGCGCGGAAACCAGACAGCATACGGAAGAAGTTACAACACTTGTGTCAGAGGCTTAAAATACACCAACCCCAGATCTCATCCATGATACCAAATCACCAACTGAAGATGGAACACGGGATTAAAACGAAAAATGCCGATGTCAAAACATACAACTTTTATCATTTGTTTTCGTATCAAACTGCAGCTAAGTTTCAGGTGTGGAGTCGTCAGTACTGCACATTTCCAGGCTGCGACGCTCACTGCAACTCGGCGGCAGGTGGCCACTGAGCCTGCGCTGCAGTGTAACCGATGCGAGCGGCCCACTCGGCTGAGCCGGGGCCAGACTGGCTGGAAGTGGGATACCCAGCAAAGCGCGATTTGCAAGACCCACAAACCCGGCCTCCACACCTGCTGCGATAGGTGGAACTTTGTACATCCATGGTGACCATGGTCAAGACAGACTTTTGTGTTGGTTCTCAATGGAAAGCTCGCAATTTCACGCCAACCAAACAGATTAGTACAATGATAGAAATCTGAAAACAGGGCGTCTATTTGAGTAAAAGCAGTTTTTGCGACAAACACAAATGTGTCTGCTCTTAAGAAGCCCGGTTCGGCAGCCCAAATGGGTTTTTGAAGCCGGCCCCCGTCGTCGGTCCACCCCAGCCCTGACCGCCAAGGACAGCGGACCGTACGGCACCAGCGACTGCTCTCTCTCCTGACGGCGGCCGCTGAACGATGGCACTGTTTTGCCAGCTGTTGGGCAACGTTCCATTAGTTGTGTCGAGCTGCCAGCCAATCGTGTCACGGTCCTACCGTAATGGCGAGCATCTCTGCGCCGGACAGCCATTTGCGGTTTGTGACGTTCTGCGCACAATTAGTACTACGGGCGTATTGGCGCATGCAGTACGCACGGACCGGACAGAGCGAACTACATGGCAAGAAACGCACGCAGCCGACGACGTGAACAGCGTCCGGACCAGACAGTACACAGGGTGTACGCGACGGACAAGACGAGCTGTCTGCGGGAGGCTGGCACGGTCGATATGGGCACTGGGAGAGGGGCCAGACGACGCAGTATGGATGGAAGGGGGGCGATACGGCCGCCGGACGGGACGGGCGGTATACGGGCCATGCAGGACAACCGATGGACGAGGAGTGAGCGCACCGGACAGGCGAGGGTTGGATGGACACCCGGCAGGACGGGCCAAGCACTGGCAGAAGGAACGGGTGGGTTCCGGGTGGGACAATGAGAGCAATGCAAGGATGAGAGAGCGCGAACGATCACCGGACGAAACAGAGACTTACGCGGCGGACAGGACGAGCTGTGTACAGAACTGACAGCGCGTGGCGTATGTGCACTGGGCAGATCGAGGAACCATACGCCGGACAGGACGAGCGATACACACTAATGCATCGGACAGCACGAGCATTGCGCGCTCCGGACAATGCACTCACACGGAGGGGAAAATCGTGGCAGCGTACACATTGCGTACGCTGCCAAATGAAAACTTCGGTCGCGCGGTGCATGACTGCATCAAGTTTGCAGTGCCTGCAAACTTGATGCCCCTGATGGCTTGTTGAACCCTTCCCCTGATGGCTTGTTATTGGCCCGCTGCACGCTATTCACGCGGCTGCTCCACGACTGTCACACAAATAACACATTCCCGGTCACGGTTCGGCTCCGGAGGACTGTCGGAGATCGCCACTGGCGGCGCCACCGGCGTCCTGCCGAATGCCCCACAGTTCCACGCAGCGCCACCGCCCTTCCTACTGAACAAACAGCAGCTGAGAGAGGCCCGTTCCAGCGCGTCCCTCCGTCGGGGCTGGGCGGATTAGGTCACGGTCAGTCCGCCTACCCGCAGAATGCCGCCGCTGTTTCACCACCGGATGCGGCGTCGAACTGACCTTTCGAGACTGTGTGATTTTCGCACGCGCGCTAACCGGCTTCACGTACTTCCGAATGACCGGGATCGTTTCGCGGCGCAGCGGATGGTTAGGGAGCCTTTGATTCGCGATTCATTAGAGGAACTCCGGGATTGGTGGGGGTCACAGCCACCGGAGACTGAGGCGATGAATCTTGCGGAAACTCAGCTAACATGCAGGTCCTTAGGGGAGCCTTTCAAAACGAACTCAGTGGTCGGCTGGCCCCGATACCCGGTTACTCCAAATGCTATAGGACAGAGTGCTGGTCCGAGACTCAGTGAACACGTATAGCAGCGTAACTCAGAACCATCCACTCATAAAAGGCGAACATGTTTTTGAATGAAGACAAGCGTTTGGCTTTCCCTGATCTGAGTTTTTCTCCGAAACAGCCCGCTGACAAACATTAGCTTCTTTGCGCAAAAAATAATGCACTCTTATGGATAGTCATGTGCAAAGCCTCGCAAAATTATTGGGCGAACAAAGATTAAACAGCTTCTATAGATGCCTGAAAACCATACATACATCATCATTGCACTTCCACCAATGCATCCCCATTAATTTATGTTTACCAATACACAATCCACTAACAACGAGATCCGTGGTTGGCTGCATGGCAAATTTAACACGATGTTTTGCTGCAGGGACGCGTATCGCGGTTTGTTGGTATCGAATGGGAACTAATGTGTTCACTCTAATGGAAATGGTAAGCAGACGATAGTGGTGCGATAATCTTCCATGAAGACGTTTTGGTGCCCAGGCCAGGACTTTTATCTCGGATGCACTGAGACTCGATAGTTTTGAGATTAGCTATTCACATCTACGAATAATTTTGCATGAGGAGGGATGGCCGTACAGTCGCGTAGAACAAGCATGGTATTCCTACATCCATGTACACAGCCCGTGCGTGAATTTTTTGTTGGCACAATCATGTCATAACATCTTCGTACGTGTGAGCCGATCAGTCATAACAATGCCCAAATTTAAGCGCGTATCTGATGCTTGAGTATTTTCTTCTGATCAATACTTACGCTTGAACAAAGCCCGATGTCCTAATTTGGTCTCCGATATACAACGTTCGGCCATAATGAGGCTGGTCTTTAACAGCGCTGCTATACGCCAAACGTTATCGTGACGGGGCCGTCACGGGACGCCTTCCATAAACAGTCGTCACGCCGGCACGAACGCAGGGTGTTGTAAGAGGCTGCGCTGTGAGCAATGACTTAATATACTCCGACCGCCCCCAAATACATGTCAGGCGGTAGTATTTATAGAAACAGTCACAATTTAATACGGACGTATTCCCGTAAGAGTGTTCTAGTTCTTTCACAAACGAAACGATCAAACCGCTTTGCTCATTCCGACCACACGTAACAGGCCGCTGGCACGCTCTCACACATCACAAACTGCGGCACCGCAACCGTGACTACCGCACGTGCAGGCGAGCCGAGACGAGCGCCGTGACCCGAGGTCAGGCCGGTGGCACGCAGATGCCCGCCGGTGGTGATGCTTACCCAGTGGTTGGCCCAGGTGCCGGTGACGACGGCGGGGCCGAAGGTCCGAGCCGGGTTCATCGAGGAGCCCGTGTATTTAATCTGCCGAAGGAGCGCGCAGATCCGTCAACTGCTGGAATCAGTGGAGCAGGAGGAGACAGTGTGGGAGAACGGTAACCTCCGGAGTTGGCACTGTGACTGGGCAAGTCCACCAGCCGATAGCAGCGGTCTTAAAAGCAGACCTTTTCTGAGGATTCCTGGTAATAGATGGATGTCCCAATAAATCGTGATCTACATCCACAAGGATGCACAGAACAAATGCAAACTGGAACGTTTTGTGGCAGACATTAATGACCAGACTGTTAACAAGATTGTAAATATACAAAACTGGTACCGCCAGGAACAGCATTTCGTCCGCAGATAACCGTAGACACCAGCGATTCTGTACCAGCGAATGGAATGTGGGGAAGGTCTACGTAGACCCGCAAAACGAGACATATCACAACGAACAGAGCATTGCGGCCTGCGGTACAAGAGCACAGAGCTCGGCGGAGGGGGAGCGGGGGGAGGAGGAGGGAAGGGCGGCCCAGGCGCGGGGTCTGGAAGAGGCGACGGAGCGAGCAGCTCGTCCCCGTGTGCAAGGGTCGGCTGTTTGATCTGAGAAGCTCCTGTATTTGGTCGGCCAAATAGCGGGTGTGCACGCACTATAGTGCAGTGACGGTATTTACCGTGATGAAACGAGGCTTGGCAGAGGCATTGCCAACGGATCTGTAATATTTGGTTAGGGAAATGTGCGTGAGTTCACGCAAGGGCCAGGTGACATCGGCACGCCTGGAATGTTTAATATTTATGTAATCGTGGAACGGCCGACATCCTCTGGGAACGGCAGAGGACATAAGTGTGTCTTGCTGTCCCACCAATCGATTTCTGTGGATATTAGAATCACAGCGATAGCGGCCAGCTTGGCCTCCACGAACAGCCATGACCCGGAGCGCCTATTGAAGCCAAAACACGAAGACAGCAAAATATGTGCTAGTGACCTTTTGTACACTGTTCGATACCATACTTATAGCATTCATTCACACTGGCCAGAGTCTAAAACTAGCAATGTCCGCCATACTCAGCGTAGACTTGGATTGGCGCGAATACATTTTCGAAGACATGGGATATGAGGTGTCTGACGCTTACATGGCGATTATTTATAACTCTGGAAACTATTCTAAAAATTCACCGGGCCTTATCCAATACCAGGTCAGTGAGCTTCTCCATCGGGTACAAACATTGGCCCAGCTCCCTTTTCTTGCTCGCTGTGCATGCTTTCTTTCTTCTTCTCCCTTCTCTTCTTTTTTCTCATATGCTTTAAAACAAATCGCGCTTGGACATCTTAAATAAAATACAATTATATGCGCAGTGAAATACCTGGCTTATTGGCTAGCTCTTTTATTTAATGGTATACATTTTTCCGATGTTGACGTTGGTTTCATTTGCGACAGGTAAGCGTCGGTTAAGTGGGTATTTGTTTTGACAATGCACTAACTGCATCATCGTCTCCAAACGCTGACTCAGGTTCATTTCACTTAGGCTTGCCTCGTGCAAATGACATGGACGAGCATGCCTCCTGGTAGCCTCGACCGAGGCGCCGCGGGCTCGGGCAGACAGTGCAGCGCAAAAAGACAAAAATTTACCACAGATTACTGAGCATAAAACTACAAAACTACCAAATTACTACCCCAGTAACACTGGCCGAATACATAAAGCCTGGCAGAATCATGTCACACCAAGATGGATGGACTGAACATTACCGTGTTGCTTACAGGGACAATTAGTGATATCCATGCGGGGGCGGATCCAGGATTTCGTCAAGGAGGCCCCGCAACATTGTTGGGCTCCCTAGAGTTTGCCCCCCCCCCCCCCTGCAACCCTGCACTAAGCCTGCAATGAGTGTACCCTGGCGTATGGGGCTCCAGAAAAAGCACATAGAGCCTTCCGGACGAATGGGAAGAACCCGCGGAGGAAAACCTGATCGATCAAGAGCGATCAGGCATGGAGACAGATAGCGTCCCAACAGCAGTGTTGGGCCCCACGAGAAAATGCAGACAGATCAAGCGCAACGTGGAAAGCTCCTTAGTGATCAGATTAACCCGGCAGGTGGATATATAGGGCCCAGACAACCAACAGCTTAGTGCCTCTGGACGGCGTATTAAGCCCCAAAATTTCCCCTAAGCTACAACCTCTCAACCAGCAAAAAATTATCAACTTCGTCTGTTTATGAACTCATTACTTTTGTTAGCAATTGTTCTTGGCCATCTGTAGGCCCAAAGGTGCTCAATTTTGTCGTGCTCTTACTGTTAAAACCTCCGTCCGTTCAACCGGTTTTGAGCCCCTTCGGAGCCTTTAGGTCCCCCGGCACGGTCCATGGGGCATGCCCGGTGCCTTCCCTTCAGCATCCGCTGTCGCCCCGAGCAGGTCAACAGATAGGGCTCCCAACAAGAGCGTAGGGCCCTACATTCAAATAGGAAGTACCCAAGACCCAATGTAGAGGGTCCCCGAATAATCCAGTGTGCCAGAGCAGGTTGCCATATAGGACCCTCGTCAAGAGTGCAGGGCCCTCGATTCAAATGGGAAGTACCCAAGACTCAATGTAAATGGCCCCCAAATGATGGAATGTGCTCGAGCAGCTTATGAGAAGGGGCCCGGCAAGAGCACAGGGCGCTCCACTCAAACAGGAAATGCGCAAAACCCAGTTTGGAGGGCCCCCAAAGGATGGGTTGTGCCCGAGCAGAATGTCAGATGACCACCCATGGGAGCGCAGGGCCCTGAATTCAAACACCAAGACCCAATGTGCAACCCCCCCCCCCCCCTATTTAATCCAGTGTGGTCGAGGAGGCGAACAGTTGGGGTTCCCGACAAGTGCATGGGACCCCCATTCAAACAGGACGTGTCAAGACCCAGTGTAGAGGACCCCCGAAGACCGAATGTGCCCGAGCAGGTTATCAGGGGGCCCCCATTCAGAAAAGAAGTGCCCGAGACCCAGTGTGGAGGGTCCCCGAGCTATCGACTGTGCCCAAGCAGGCTATCAGATGGGCCCACGACGAGAGCGTAGGGCCCTATGCAAGGGACGGATACCTGGAAGCGCCCTAGGCCAAAGCAGGGGGCCCATGAGCATAGTCGAAGTGTATCGGTAGGTTAACTGAGCCCCACGCAAAGGGCCTCTGAGCAACGGAGAGTACTCCCGCAGGTTAAGATATGGGGCCCCGGCTGTAGCTCACAGAGCCTTTCTGGCGAATGGAAAGAATCCGCGGAAAGGCCCTTGATTAACAAGAGTGCCCCGGCACGCTAACAGGAAGGGCACCAACAACAGCGCAGGGTCCTTTGAGCAAATGCAAAGAAATCAGGGGCAACGTGGAAAGCTCCGTAACGATCGGATTGACCCTGCGAGTGGGCACATAGGTCCCGCGGAAACAGCGAAGGGCCCCTAGACAGCATAATATGGTCTAAAATTACAAATTCACAACGTTTTCAATCACTGAATAGTTTTTCTCCTTCCTGTGGGCCCTCCTCTTTCGCTTCCAATTGTTCTCGGTCGTCTAGAAATCCAGAGATGTTCAAATTTGTCGCTTTTTTGTTTAAAAAATCTGCACCTGTTCGGCCGGCTATGGGCCCTCTCGAAGCCAATGGGCCTCTCCGGGACCCAAGGGGGGATGGCCCCGTGCCGCCCCCCTGGATTCGTCCCTGTATCCATGGTCCAAAGGGCCTGATTCAAAGGACCCTTGAGCCCGGAATCGTTTGATACCAAATGTCGGAGACGTGCCGATGGTTGATAAAGCTTTTCTGCGTAAGTGTGCTGACCTGGCTGCTGCGAGATCATTAGAATCGTGCAGCTAAACTCTCTACTTTTCATAAAATTACAAAAATGCACATATTTTTTATGAACTCGATGCTTTTGCAGTAATGATTGCACGCAGTGACTACAAAATCGGAAGGTACTCAATGTAAAGGTTTTTACGAATAAATCAATGCATACATGCATGCATACAAGCTAATAACACACACACACACACACACACACACACACACACACACACACACACACACACACACACACACACACACACACACGCACAGCACAATCTGATAATATGTGTGTATGTATATACATATTATCAGAGGGGGCAACATTCTAGGAGGCTTGAAAGAAAAACGCGTCAAACATTTCTGCACCGAGAGTACACAACAGCCTACTATGATATTAATGTTTTTTGACGTCATTACCTCTCCCCCCATATTCCAGTTAGGCACTCATCGGTTCTTGGCAAGACAAATCACCCTACGTGCTCTGTACGAGTCGGAGACTCATTGGAAAAATAGTGATTTTGGACCGTCACTGTGCTGAATACCTGCGCCACGTAGCCGGGCCCGACCACTTAATGACATTGAAAGAAGTGTCAAAAATGTTCCTCCAGCGCTCAACATGAAGGTCTTTAAAAAGGGCCCACAAATACGATTCAAAAGGTGTTGTAAGCTGCTCAGATACCCCGATTTCAGCAAATGGAGCTCGACTCAGGTAATGTGCAAGATCATATCACTTTAGAGACATCACGTCAACCTCAGTAAAACATATCATTGCTCCAAAGAATATCCCTACGCAGATGAAAGCTTTCTTACAGACTGCGGCTTATATCCGACACATCGAACGCCACCAAGCGTTTGTTACAACCTGGGACCCGTAGATCAGCACCGAAAACCCAGGCAAAATATTCCTGACACCGGACCTCGTGCGGCACGGGTTCAACGATTGACACAATAGCTTATACCACTCTGGTTTATACGAGTTGCACAGTCATGCAGAAAACCAGCGAACCGGCACGGCTGTGGGTCTGCTGCTGCCCGTGGGCCCCAATACCGCACCATTCAGCGCGACTCGTTCCCCATTATCCCGCAGGTCCCCGCCCCACCACCCGGTTCGCAACGCACACACCGGTAAAAACAGGCGGCTAGCACCGAGCTGGGGTGCGCCGCTGATAGACGGTCCGCCCGAGTAGAGCCAGCCAGGCGACAATGGCTCAATAAGCGGGCCTCGCACCCCGAAATGCTGGAGCGTACAAAGGCGGCTTCAATAAGCTGTTGTGCTTTGATTCTCCGCCGGTGGGTATTGTAGGCGGCAGCGTCATCCTCTGCCGTCCGGAACAGGACGGGCGGCGCCGGGGCCCGTCAGTGCGCTCCGGAATGGCGGCGGCCAACCGAGAGGTCGAAGATCATCACTGGGACACGCGGTCAGGTCTGTCTCCGCCGTCCTAGCCCGCGGTCAGCCTCACCGCCTAATGCGCGGTGAGCCAGCGTCGGGTTGCGGAATGGTGCACTCTCCACAGCTAGAGAACTTCACGTTGGGTGTATGTCTGTTCAGCAGGCACGAGTACAGTGGTGTGATCTAGCAACGCTCTGCCGGAGTTTGTGCCGGGTAAACCTTCGGACTCCTTAACATTCGCAGGAAGAGCTGTTTTAACTATGGACAAACTATGGGGTCGGACTTAGACCTCTTGCCGCTAAAATACAAGTGTCCACCTCCCAAAACTTCGTTTATGGCTTATCGGCGATAGCTACTAGACGATGGCGAAAAACATTCCTGGTTTTACTTCTATCAAACCAGACCCCGCCACATTGCACCCAGTCGAAACAGCCTGCCCCCCGCTGTTTGTCACCGGAGCTGACCACCACCGCCGTACCCCGCCCCTTTCCTGCGCTGGGGGGGGGGGGAGGGGGACAGTATTTGCGCGCCCCACGCGCCGTTGCACGTGACCAGCGGGCCCGGCTGCGGACCGCTCACGCTCGAACCCCAGGTCATCGCTGCGAGCACGGCGCGACACAAAGGGTCCCAATCCTGACCCCGGGCGGGTAATCTGGCGCGGCGGCGACAGGTCGATCGTCTATTTACCCGGCGGCGCCGCCGTGACCACCGCCACAATGGCGCTCCCAGGCCCTCGAACCGTACGTGTCCGGTCAGCGCCGCCCATTCAACCCCCGCCCCCCCCCCCCGCCCCCCGCCCCGCCCGCCCCACCCCGACACTCTCACGTCTCCATCGTGACCTGTCACGCCCAGGCAGGTCGGTCAGGTCACGTCCCGCACGGGTCTGCCAGTCACGCCCCCGCAGGTCGGAGGGCGACCGGAAGCGACTGCGAGCGACCGTGATGTGTGAAGCGCCTGCAGCGACGCTCTGACTGACAGACGGCCGGGCCTGATGACGGAGGGGACGGATCTGCTGACAGGCAGATATCGGGCTGTTTATGGAGAGTAGCGCATTGGCTGGGGAAGCAGGGTAGGGGGATGAAAATGACTTTTACTTCGCTTCTTTCCAAGCACCGCCAATGCTTAATATTGCCCGGAATAAGAGGAACTGCCTCGCCCCCTGACCCTACGAACATGAATGTGACCACTGGGAAGGGGGGGGGGGGGCGGGGGACACGTCCTCTCCAACTTGTACAAAGTGTGATTTTGTCCCTTTCAATGCTGCCTAGAGAACACACGTTTTTAGCGTTTCCCCCATTCAAAGTAACATTTTCAGATAAGGTTGGCTCCACCAGATTTAAGTTAGACCGCAAACTCTTTGTTGCCCCAATTTCAGGGATGTGACTACACTTATGCTTACGCCCGCTGCCTAATCCGCCGCCCCCTATCTGCCGGGAGGTAAAGACGGCCTCAATCACAGTGACGGCTAGGTCTACTGGTAGAAAATGACGGTTCCACCGGCAGTGAGGCCTGGGTTTACTGGTAGAAAATGACGGCTCCACTGGCAGTGAGGCCTGGGTTTACTAGTAGAAAATGACGGCCCCACTGGCAGTGAGGCCTGGGTTTACTGGTAGAAAATGACGGCTCCACTGGCAGTGAGGCCTGGGTTTACTGGTAGAAAATGACGGCTCCACTGGCAGTGAGGCCTGGGTCTACTGGTAGAACATGACGGCTCCACTGGCAGTGAGGCTTGGTTTACTGGTAGAAAATGACGGCTCCACTGGCAGTGAGGCCTGGGTCTACTGCAGCGAATGCCGGATCTGCTGACGAAGACAAACGAGTCTACCGTCAGAGGATGACGGATCCGTTGACAAATGATGTGTCTGCCAAGAGCGGGAAGGGTCTGCTTACAGTCGAACTGTCCTGCTGACAGGTAATACGTCTTTCGACAGGAAGTGACCGGTGTGCCGACAGACAGACGAGTCCGCTGGCATATAGGGTAGGACTGGCAAGACTCCATAGGCGTCAGTAACCTCCGCCGCTGTCCGCCCTCCACCACTCGCAGTGACCTAGGAAAGAAGAGTATTTCCCACTGCGCAGCCCTAACCCAGTTCTTATCCTGTCCCACTGGGTGTCCGGGGCGGCGTGCGACCAAATGTTACCACAGCCAAAGCTCCAGCTGTCTCACCCACACCACGCAGTCCCGAGGACTCCGGCCAGTACAGTGGTATCCGCGGTAGGGCAGCAAACCATGGAGACAATCAAACGCTTTACCTCGAGCTGGCGACCAAAAGTCAGCGACCTCCACCGTTTCCCACAATCAGCGCATTACTGTTCATTTGAAGGTGTTTTTCATGCCTAATGGCCCCGCACCGCAATGCTCCGGGCAAACCAAGCCCCGGGGTCCCAATTTTGTCGCCGGCGCTATCAGGATCCGCCTTCATGCGTCGCGTGCCCCGTCTGACCAGCAGCTGACTTTGACCCAGTTGCCCGCACCAGGCCGATAAAACGCCGGCGTCCATCTTTCGCCGACGTGACGTCACGGCTACCAACTCACGGCGCCCAGGTGGCAAGCGGTGATGGAAAGTCCGATGGCCAGCGGCGCCGAACCCTTGACGTCATCGCGGCTCTCGTCGCAGACGCCGAACACGACGAAGACCAGAACGAAGGTGATGAAGAGCTCGACACCGAAGCCTTGGAAGGCGGACAGCTTGGGGTTGATGGTCGTCATGCCCAGCGATCCCTGCACTTCCTCCGGGGTGAGAGCCTGCCGGAGAGAAAGCACACACAGTGAAAACTCAGCCGCAGCGTGAGATCAACAGTGATCGAACGGTTACAATATCAGCTAAGCCGCTAGGGCGTCATTACCAATTCGAGACACGTAGGGTTCTTTTGCGTGTGACACTCACACGCAAATGATGCCCCCGTGGGGATAGCGTGGGTATATGTTGGTGAGTCACTGGAGTTCAGTTTTGTGCTTCGGTTGTACGCGCGCGTGGTATATAACGTACATCTGCTTCAGTCATGGTGACTGATACAAAATCATGGCAGGCCGATAGGAATGCAGTTACCAGATTTTAGCTTCTATTTCGTGGATTTGAGCGGACAAACACTGCACGTACCCGATTAATTTCAGCGCACCAAAAAGTACTGCTACCACCACTTTTCAACAGGTGTTTTCACACTTGAACGCAGCAGCTGAGCTAGCATGCTGACACTTGAGTGCGGCGATGCTGATGCGGCCGTTTCGGCGCGGTGCGCAGGACGATACGCGAGGAAACTCAGCCGCCTATCAAGCTTAACTCTCACGCACATTCTGGTGGACGTCTAGCGCATGCCTCTCAAAAGAGAGGTGATGCATGGTGCGTTGGGTAAACTCAACAGTCAGGGCATACAGGTGTACAGGGTAAACTGGGTGTACAGTCAAACACTTTCAGGCCGCGTCACGTGGTGAGAGTGCCGAATGAAAGCCATTTGTTTGGCGGTGGCTCAGTGTGAAGAAAAGTCCCAACACCGGCAAATATCGCTCAATAAAACCTTGCCGATGACCTAATTCACACTTTATTGACACCATCACGACATCTTAATCTCCTTTATTGTCTCCTTTGTCGGAAGCTTTGTCTCTCAAATCTGCCCAAACGATAGACAAGCATGGCAATAACCGCTATCGTAATGGGGTGGCGGCAGTGATAGGCTCCAAGCATTCGCAGGCTATACGATAACGCTTGTCCCAGGCGTGTTCCGTGTTGGCTCCGCACATAAAACGGCTCATGCCATCGACACCGAAATGCATTATGGATTAAGTGATTAAGTGACGGCCCGTGGTAGCCAATTTAGCGAGGACGTGCTTCCCAGGCCCGTGCGGCAACGCTGAGCGCGATAGCCAATTTACATTTTTAAAGTTTTCTTTGTTAAATTAAGCATCCACTATCACTAACGACCTATTAAACACACAGCGCATGATCCGGTGTCATCAGTGAACTCAACTCACTCAACCATTGAACTCTAGTGAATCCAAGCAAAACAGCAGCGACACTGCACAGTGGAAGTTTGCCGCTCCAAGCTGCGGTTCATTTGTTGCCGTGACTGCGTAACGGACGCCGTGTTCGATTGAGTGTTCCGCAGCACCGCCCCGCCGCAGCCGCGCACCTCGGGTATGCCTTTTGTTTACTGGTTGCCGTGCGCCGAGCACGCGTCCCTGTCCTTTCCACACTGGACACGCCTCCTCCAGGCGACAGGCGGCACGGCAGTACCAGCGAAACACTCAACAGATTCAACTCGCGGAACCCAGCCCGGTCCGGTCCGGCTAATCCAGATCCAATCCGCGTACCAATTCGCCTTTCCAACTTTCTGTATTCAACCATATTCGTCCCGTTTACCAGAAAAGTAACCAAATAAGTCTGTACCAATCCACTTATATAATTCAGGTTTTTTGAAATACTAACAGGAACCTTGGTTGCGTATTTGCACAATTTCAATATATTTCTTTTTTTGCATTCAATAGTTCCCATTGAAAAGCATGCAATCAGCTGACATCCATGGTTGGGTGCAAGCATACTTAGCATGACCTGCGGCCTGTTGGAAATACAATTTTGTGTGACATGGCAAACAGGGCTCATGATGCTGTTTATCATATCGCAGTTGTTTTTTTTCTCAATTTTCTCATCTGCCAACAAATCAGAGGGGAAAATTAATTGCTCGCTGAAATGATTTCAAAGTTAACATTGCCTCACACATCCATGCCTTGGCCTAGGTGCAACATGCCTACAGATGGCACTAAAAATTTCAGCACTATGTAGTTGAAAGATGCAAAAAAGACGCTTACTCAGGATACCTTCTGAGTAGATAAAACTATCATCTCACATCTTATATGGTACTTCATGTGTGTTTCCGTTCTCGGACACATAAACTCATCAAATAGCCTCAAATGATACAATCATAACCTGCTGAGTTACCCACTGCAGACAAATTTTAATCGATCCACCCGGTGCTCGCTGCTCGCGCTTTCATCCAAAAGAGCGAAACAAAACGAACGAAAACGAAACAGCATCGAAAGTGAAAGTGGCGTCACTTTTGACCCAACTGTTGGAATGCAAGATACTGCAAGATCTTTTTTATTTTCCCACACTGAAAACCAGAGGCGCAGCAAAAGGGGAGGACTCAGCAGCTATAGCCCCCCCCCCCCCCCGTCGGTACAAGCACAGTTTTTTTTACCACAACACTACTGAATATAATTCCGGAATCTGGCGATCAGGAAAATAATTTTCGTTTAAACTATCATAGAGACAACGGGGGGAAAGACATGTAGAGCCTTATGGCAGCAATTTCGTAACAAGGTTGATGGATAGCCGAGCAGATATGTACGGTCCGCGGCTCTCATGGCACCAGAGCGAACCAGATTTGATAGCCCATTGATAAGCTAGGTACCGTACCTCCCAGCGTGTGTGGGGTCGGCTTGTCTGTTTGCATTGTGCAGGCAGCGTTCACATCGGATCGGACTCGCTCATAGAAATTGGCCACCCCATCGCGAATCATGATAATCCCTCCCTTTGCAGATCATAGTAGGCCAACCTCCGGCGAAAACTCTGGCTACGGCCCTGCCGGAAAACAAACAGGTGTTGTGTGTCTGTTCGTGCATATCACACTTGAATCAATCCTCATTCAAACAGCTCAAGATGTTTTGCTTGTAACATATGTCTTACTATATACGGTAACTACGCCACGTCACTTTGCATGATCAATTGTTGATCTCACCACTTTGTTGAGATCAGTGTGCTGCGATCAGTCCGTGGATTCATCAGTCCGTGAAGTGCTCTCATCCCCAAGACTGCCCTTGGCGACGGCCAGCCACGGGAGGACTGCTCGTCGGTGACGGCCAGCCACGGGAGGACTGCTCGTCGGCGATGGCCAGCCACGGGGACGCTCGTGACCACAGATCGGCCGGCAGGCGCTGGGGCTGGGCAGGATTGCACGACGGGCATGGGGAGCGAGAGCGAAAGGGAGAAATTGAAAGGGAGAGCGCGGCGATGGGCACAGAGGATGGCGTGCTGTGAGCGTGCAACAGCAGGGGAACGACGCTGGAGAACATGACGTCACGCGGCACATGGCGGCAGGGAGCGGAGATGAACGGCAAGGCCAGCACTTGTGCACGTTCCTCTCTAACATGGGATGCTGATGTGGATGACGGGCGACATGAGAATGTTGGGTGAGGTTGATACGGTGAGCGCCTGTGCCTCTGACATGTGAAGGGATCTCTTCCTGTCACCCAGGTCACGTGCCAAAGTACCAGAGGCAACGGCGGATCCAGGGGGATGGGGTTATACCACCGATTGCTAATGCAAAACTCCTCCACAGCTTTCCCCCCCTTGGTCTTGATGTCTGTCTTATCAGCTGGCATCTGGGTTGGGAATTGAAACCCGACCCTTCCGTAATTCACCAGCTTCTCCTTTGGTTGTTGCTATAAGGACGGAGGCTACAGCTTCCAAAGCCCTTGGAGCCTCTTTTGACGCATGTAGTAACTCGCGTCCCTGCGAGGTTACCGGGTTTCTCTCTCCGATTGTTTTGCTTGGAGCGCCGCCTGTTTTCCCGGACACACCTCCGAGCGACACTGTCCGACAAGCGCGCGCCCTGACCTCTTCCAAGCACACCGCATTCAGCCGTCAACCCCGGGTCGACCTGACCGGATCGACAGGATCTTACATAACCCCACCAATTGGCCGGTGGGCTGCAGCCGGCCGCGCCCGCGCGCCTCCGGCTCGCTCCGGCTCCCGCTGACCGTGTTTTCCAGCTCCGAGTCGCCGCCGCCGATGACCCGCACAAAGAGCGCGCGCCGACCCGAGCACCCCAACAAAGCCGTGGCATGCGTAGTTTGTCGCAGCGGTCTCGCGCGGTCGTGGGAAGTGGGTGGCGCGCGCCGGCGGCCCGCCCGAGGGGCCAGCACGCACGCGCGCCCTCAGCGGCCGTGGGACCGGCCCTGGACGCCGGCCCTGTCTCCATCCGCACCGCGGCCCGAGACGCGGCTACCGAGAAACAGAGACGTCACGGGCGCGGGGTCCCTGGTGACGTGGGTGATTGGTAGTGGAAAACACCGGTGTCCCCCCAAAACACCGACAATTTATTTGTATCTGTGTCTGCACCTGCGTCTGCGTTTGTCTGTCTGTCTGTCTGTCTGTCTGTCTGGCTATCTGTCTGTCTGTCTGTCTGTCTGTCTGTCTGGCTATCTGTCTGTCTGTCTGTCTGTCTGTCTGTCTGTCTGTCTGTCTGTCTGTCTGTCTGTCTGTCTGTCTGTCTGTCTGTCTGTCTGTCTGTCTGTCTGTCTGTCTGTCTGCTGCCTGTATACAGCAAGACGGATATCTGTGTGCCCGTGGGCGTGGGAACAGTGACTGGGCTTGGGTGGATGCTGGTTGAGGTAATGCACAGGCCTTCTCGGCCCGTCATTCCTGAGCGCGCCCAAATAACGCATTTCTTCATTGCGTAATGACAGCTACCGCTTCGGCGGTTTGGTAGGTTAACTCCCACAGATCACTTCAACGGCCTACGTATTTCGAGTAATGTCATCGCATGTGTTGTGCAACCTGGATCATATTTCCCACCGGTATCCATCGCGGTTGAAGGAATTTAAATAAGTGGTACTCAGCTGACATTCAAGTGGTCGAGCCTTCCGGTGTCAGAAGACAGAGCCTGGTGGATAGTGTCCCACTATAGTGCGGGCAAAATCAATTTCGCACGCTGTGAAAAGTCGGCCGCATATTTGTGAAAAGCCGGTCAAAATACATACAAATAATAATTCTATCTGCAAGGCAATCCAGGCGAAACGTTTACCCCCTTTCTAAACTGCAGTGCGTCTGTATGTACCTGTCAGTTCTCACATATACAATCATACGACGCGCACTACTGGAAGCATCTTGCAGTTACTTTAAGCAATTTGATATGAATAGAGACGCAGCGGGACCAAGTAGGATCAAGCCTCTCAAAATATGAATGCATTGTCTTAAATATTTCAAAACCTTTATCTGCACCGGTCGTGTGGTAGAGGGTCCAAGCCCAGACGTTTCTGACATTTGGCACATAATTTTTACATACCGTGCACAGACAACTAAATTGGAAGGCTCTAATGTGCTCCTCATTTATTCGAAAACAGCTTCGAAAGTGCCTCGGAAGTGTTCATGACAAGGGGTTACGATGCATACCGCTAGGCCTATTACCGCATAATGCTCATTGCATGAAGAAATTGCGCGCGATCTTAGCTAGTGAGCTCAGCGTCTGTCAAAGCTTAATAGCGAGTTAAGTGACCAACCGTCTTTGAGTTCTTCACTCCAACGTGAGGTCCGAAAGAGAGTGTCGATGGTCGTGTATTCATTTAAGGCGAGCGTTAATTCTTTGAGTTCTTCACTCCAACGTGAGGTCCGAATGAAAGTGTCGGTGGTCGTGCATTCGTTTGAGACGAGCGCTAATTCTTTTATTCATGCCCATGTTGATACACGTTATATAAGTGCGCTGTACACCGGAAAGACATCTCAAGTTTTTCATGAGAAGTGGAGCTATGTTTTGTTAGCGGGACTATGGTAGCTAGACAAAAACCTGTTTTGTTATTGCCAGACAGGCAGGTACCAGGTCCACTCCAGGGTGCCCACTGGTGCACGTTTTTGCAGCATTTCAAGTACGCATGACGTACTTCTGTTTCCCAACGACTTGCCTTCGACGATATCAGTCCAAACCAGCAAGACGCTCCGTCCAAGCTGCTCACTGTGCTATGCTACAGCTCTGATGACGGCACTCAACTGGAGTCTCAGGCCTGAGACGTCCGTCGGCGTATTTCGAGGGATAAGCTTCCAAAAACGCCTGAGAGCAGCTAAAACGTAGGGAATCCCTTCATCCCCCGCAGCGTCCAAAGCTATGCTATGTAAACAACGTGATATGTACAGGTAAGTGCGTGAGAATGGTGAATTTCCAGTTTATCCGCCCCAAAAGCGCATTTTGTTTCGCGTCCGTGATGAGCGACCCAATCGCTGAGATGAGCGGTGCCACCACTTACATTGCCAGCGCAAATACGGCAACGTTTACCAACCGCCTTCGATGCGTCGAAGTCTCACTGCCGACAGTTTCAAGTCTGCCTGGTCTGTCCTTTTGGCATCGTCTCATCAGATTGGCTGCGGCGGCGGGGGTGGCGGAAACTCATATTCCGTCGGCTGCGACACCGCCGGCAGGTTGGGGGGGGGGGGGAACATGGGGAGGGCGGGGCTGCTTGCGCTCCCACGCCCACGCAGCGGGGCCCAGGTGGGCGGCCGACCACCCGAAAACGGCCGGACGTGCCTCGCCGGCCGCAGCCGTCGGAAAACGAAAGTGGACCACGCAAGGTCAGGGTCGCGCCGAGTGGACGGGGTGGACGCACGGAGGAGGGTCAAGAGGCTCGCAGTGGGGCTCAAGCGGGGAGGGAGGGAGGGAGAGAAGGGGAGGGTAGGGAGGTCGCCGACGCTACGTCCAATAACGTGGAAATGAAGACAGCGGTTCCGCTCACTGAAGCGGCCGCCGTGGCATGGTTCAGCCCGAACTCGCCAGACCGGTGCGGTCTCTTGCGAGGTAGGTTTCGGTGCGCGCTACATTTCGGCAGAAACATGATTCTTTTCGAGCACATTTATCAAAGGAAATGCCGCCAGGTGTCAACTCTCGTCACCTTCCATCGAGGTGCTGAGGCTCTCGTAAATCAGGACGGATTCCACAATCCACATTTCCACCACATTCAGGCAAGGCTTCCATAACTTTCGCCTGAAGAGGCCCGAGTGATAAAGCTCACCCTGCGAGGCGCCGAGGCGACGAAGCGTTCCCTGTGGAGCGCCGAAGCGTCAAAGCTCACCTTCAAGAGCGCTGAGCCGACGATGGCTCCGATGCACTGGACCAGGACGTAGAAGACGGCCCGCATCAGGCTGACCTGACGGGCCACCAGCATGCCGGCGGTGACGGCCGGGTTGATGTGGCACCCGCTCACGTGGCCGATACTCTGCCGGAGCAGGGACACACGACAGTCAGCACCACGTGACGAGGCCGATACTCTGCCGGAGCAGGGACACGCGACAGTCAGCATCACGTGGTGAGGCCGACACTGCCGGAGCAGGGACACGCGACAGTCAGCATCACGTGGTGAGGCCGACACTGCCGGAGCAGGGACACGCGACAGTCAGCACCATGTGGTGAGGCCGACACTGCCGGAGCAGGGACACGCGACAGTCAGCATCACGTGGTGAGGCCGACACTGCCGGAACAGGGACACGCGACAGTCAGCATCACGTGGTGAGGCCGACACTGCCGGAGCAGGGACACGCGACAGTCAGCACCACGTGGTGAGGCCGACACTGCCGGAGCAGGGACACGCGACAGTCAGCACCACGTGGTGAGGCCGACACTGCCGGAGCAGGGACAGGGGACAGTCAGCATCACGTGGTGAGGCCGATACTCTGCAGGAGCAGGGACATGCGACAGTCGGCAGCGTGTCCCTGCCCCTGAACAGGAACAGGAACAACACGTGCCAGTCAGTATCACATGATGCTGTGCGATGTTCTGTCAAGGACTTGTGATAGTACCATGTGATGTTACAGCCGGCGCACCGCTGAGGCAGGACAGTGTGACAGCCAGTGTTGCGTAGTACTGCAGCCATGATATTGTGCAGGAGCGAGACCCTCGACAGTTAGTGTCATGGATATTGTTTAGCGGACTCTGACGGAACCGCGAGTTCAGAACACGCGACAGTCGGTGTTACGTGCTGGCGCGCAGGGTGCCACTACCACAGTACAGTTTAAGGTAGGAAGTGGGTAAAACGATACGGCTCTCCTGTTACTACGGTTCCCTTCACTTTGCATCGTAATAGTCACATCCTCGATCATAACGGTTGTGTCTTCTTACGAGTAAAACACGTGCGCGCTCACACGTACAAACCTGTAATGCTCAGCAACTGTCACAGCTACAGACTTCAGTCTGTCATTATTACTGGGCTTCTGGAGCATTCTGCCTGGAGGCCTTCGAAATCAGCCGCATTCAAATAAAACTACCCAGGCTGTTTAGAAGCGACCGCACAATCACATACGAAAGTTCAACCACGAGGTTACAAACCACTTACGGGCCAAGCTGATGCTACTGGCTATCGATGAGCCCACAACTACGACACCCTGAAGACCGGGGTGCAGTCTCATCGATCTCCAAATCAATCACTCTTACTTCATTTGGTCTCGAGTTTCTCCGGTACATTTGTATCACGTTCCCATAATTGTGTGGATCCTCTTCGATTGAACCGCACCGCGCCCGCGTGCTACGTGACTTACGTCAACCGAAGGGCGGTATTACAGGGAGACAAATGTGTGTACAGGCCCCACAGCTGTCGTAAGGCGGTCACTTCTTGGCCATCCTCTTGTCCACACCAAGCAGGTCAACCCAAATATTCTTCTGCTTCAGATCAATCACCCAGCTGCTGGTGGTGACATAAACTAGCCTGTTCGGATTGTCTCGAGCTAATGGCCGAAGCGAGCCGAGACCCAACCAAAGCACTGCTGTCGCCGTGTGCCTGGACGCGCCACGGCCCGGACTTTCGACATTCACGAGCTGCTGAGCGGCCGTCAGAGGATCGGGGGCACAGCCTGGCCGATGGACGGGGCTCAGGTCAGATGCAGGTCAGGTCAGACGCAGGCAGCGGCGAGTCACACGCGGTCTTCCCCAGTCTGAATCACTCGCTTCTGACGTCCCTGACTGCTACGCCGCGCGGGAAGCCCCTCAGTCCGTTCTGATGAATTGCAGCCTTGCCAGCTGATGAGAATCTCTCTCTTGAGCCAGTCCCCCCCCCCCCTTTCAACAACAACTAGAACTGATATCAACTGATAATCGCGGCGATCTTAACTAAATTAGCCCGTTTTCACCCGCTTGAGTAGGTAGCTTGTCCATTCCACATTACAGAAGGATGCCAAAACTAAGACTACGACACTTCAAATAAGGGCTTGTTACCCAAATCGCGGCCATATAACAGGGCCGCTCCGGAATAGACCGGCACCCTTGGGTCAGGGCTGCTGACCACCAGTCTTCCTGACTGACTCCGAGCTACTCGTAACACGGAAGTCCGCACCCAGGCAGGCTCGTGCTGGCTGGCGGCACTTGGCTCATTCTCCTGTCTCGTTGCATTGACTCAGGTTCACTGAGTGCAGTGACCGTAGACGGTTCGCCTGGCGTGCACGCTCGGGGCACGTCTGTGACAAGGCGCAGATGGGTGGGTGCTGTGGATCGTATGTGTTAATTCTGACTGATCGCGTCGTAGGCATGTATGTTTACTTCACCTGGTCGCAGTGTATGCATGCGCTTATTCTTACTGATCGCGCCCTAGGCAGCTGTGTTTAGTCCAGCTAGTCGAGTTAAGCATACGCATATGCTCGAGCTGGTTGTTTTGCGTATATGTGTTTATCTTACTAGCATATGCTCACATATGCTCACTATACATGCTCACTTAGCATGTATTCACTTCGTTACACATACTCCCTGCTTGCATTGGCCATTTTGCGCAGTTTGTGTCTTCATTTTTCCCGGTTGGCGATGGTGCCCACTTAGTCCATACGAACTTGCAGAAGAATAATGTATGCAGTCTCCGTGTTTATTCTACTGGCTACGACACGGTATTCACTCAGACGGATATTTCACCAATCTCTGTGTCTCTATTTTGCTAGTTTCGCCTTGATATCTACTATTACATGCATACTGGAAGGTCAGCCGTCGTGATGATGTGTTGGCATGCGTTTATTTGCCAGCTTGACGTCCACATTTGTTTCTATTTTCTGATAACGTCGTGTATCCGATACCTCCTGGCATATCAAAGGCCAATCAATGTCCACATAACGGCTTTGAGCTCACAATGCAAAAAAACCTGCACGCCTCTCTTTCGTATATCAAATGTGGTCCTGGCAGTGCCAAAGTGATGGAGGGCTCCTCCCACACCTGCAGGAGAGGCCCTCTGTCATCGCACGATGAACCTGTGATACTGTCGCAGGTTCCCTGCACCGTGCCGGATTGTCAAGCCCCTGCTGACTGCCCCAGCCATGCGCTCTGAAGCCCTCACCAGAATACACCAGAGACAAGTTGCACTGGAGGCTATGGGTGCCAAGAAGATATATGCATATGCCATTGATTGATTGACTTGACATCGGTTTGCATTGTTTGATGGAATGGCATAACGCTTACCACACTTTTGGCAAGTGACCCATGTTGACAGGCAGCAGGACGAACCCTTGTAAATGACGCTCCCGCTGCAACAGAACTCCCGCGCCTCACGCTACTATCATTGGTAAGCTCCAAACATTCAACTCCCTTCTCACCGCGGTGAGCCCCAGCTACCCACACCTGCGGCCCCTCGGAGGGACGCCCGTGGCCGACACCCCCGCTGACTCCGCAGCGGATCGGTTTGGTGGCCCGGTCCGTGCCTCCCGGCCTCGGCGGCGCCCAGGTCGGCCGCGGTGCTGCGCAGTGCGCACCGTTACCTGTCAGCCGGCCGTCACGGGCGGCGATGAGACCGCGCGCCGCCGCCCCCCGCACCAAAACAAACGGCCGGTCAGCACCGGTTGCGCCACCGACGGCACACGCGCTGTCGACGCTCCCCCCCCCCCCTTCCCTGACCGCGGTGACCGCGGACAGTGGTCATGGGGGGGGGGGGGGGGCAGCGACGCAGAAGACACATCGCCCACCAGAGTCCCGCGGGTAATTATGGTGCAGTGTGAATGACGGAGCTATTGTTGTGCGTGAGATAACGCATAATTACCAGACAGGTATTGGTCGTTATGAAGCTCCCACAGTGTCGTAAAGCAACACTCCTTTGAAAGTAAAGACGCCTAATTATCCAAGTGTATTCATCAGCGCGGTGATCGTAATCGCATTGGCGGTGAAAGTGCATGACCCATTTGGAGTAAACTGCAAAGAAGTGCTAAAAATTTCGGGGCTAAAAGGCATCTACCTCGTTAATCAATTTGGCCAGCTTCTCAGCGGTCTCAGCCCCATTAAGGTTACGTGCAGGCTTGTTCCATTATCTCAGCGTTGCGAAATCTTCATTTGCGAAACAGCCGACGAGGCGCCATGAGGTCTGTCATTGGTGCGACGCATGGGCCCGGAACACCGGATCCACGGGATCCCGGATCCCCGTGCGGCTCCGTCACATGGAGGTGAGTTTTCTGCGTGAGTAACCAGCCAGGGGAGACCTGGGTATAGTTGCACTTTACAGACATCGGCGGATACATGAGTTTTGCCGCAGTTTTGTGGCGAACAGTTCCGAAGATGTGACGCGTTTTAAACCGGCTAAAAGACGGCACAATCAAGGTTATAGTAGCGTGTCGCAGAGCTACGGGTATCACTCACTGTACTATGCTTATCTCATCCTGTGCCTGGAAACCCGAACTCAAATCCCAGTAGTAAACCCCATTCCACCTCTGAGTTTGGCCAATAGTGGCTGTCATTCCTCGGAAAATCCGCTTAATAAGTGTGCGGCGTCGTGCAGTTGCTCACATTCATTAAATGACCGCAGGAAAAACAGCTTATCTTTCAGACTTATGTTCAGTTGACTTCACACAGATGTTCTTTTCCGAATGTAGTAATAATGCATTTTTTCTAACTCTCCTAATAAAAAATAAATCAAAACGAATGTAATTAAGGTCAAGACGTAATTTACTGACTTCTGTCAATGTCAGCTCCCTCCCGATCGCTGCATAATTTTTAGCATCGCTCCGCGACATTGAGAATGGTTGCATCTCTCTGCAGCGGTCACATTTGTCAGCAGTCTCACCACGCTACTGGGATTCGTTGCTCCACCTCCTCCTCGTCCTACTGGAACTCGTTCCACCTCGTTCTCGTCATACTGGCACTCGTCCCACCTCCTCCTCGTCGCACTGGGACACGTCCCATCATCTTCTACACAGACCCTTGTCTCGTCTGTCCGCTAAACTAGGATGCGGGGCAAAATCTGCGGTTCTTCTGATCTGTTCTCTC